CTCACTAATGACATTCACATTAGGGCCAAAGATTAATATGTCATCCACATACAAACATATAATAACACAATTTGATCCTATCATCTTGGAATAAATACAAGTATCAGATGCATTAACAACAAAACCATTATCCACTAATGTGCTATTAAACTTTTCATACCATTGCTTAGGTGCCTGCTTTAGACCATACAAAGATTTTCTCAATTTGCATACTTTATTCTCCTGTCCTTGGATCATAAATCCCTCAGGTTAAGACATATAGATCTCTTCCTCTAAATCACCATTTAGGAAAGCCGTTTTAACATCCATTTGATGTATCACTAAATTATGAATAGCGGCTAAAGCAACAAGAGTTATAATAGTCGCTATCTTAGTCACAGGAGAATAAATGTCAAAGTAATCAAAGTCTTTCTTTTGGTTAAAACCCCTAATAACAAGTCTAGCCTTATATTTCTCAATTGTACTATCAGGTCTCAATTTCTCCTTAAATATCCACTTGCTACTTATGGGTTGACAACATTTAGGCAAATCAGACAAGTCCCAAGTGTGATTAGAAACTATAGAGTCTAATTCATTTTTAATGGCCTCTTTCCAAAAATTAGCATCTATTGACCTCATTGCTTCATTGTATGTCTTAGGGTCTTCTTCTATTAAATAGATTGACACTAATTCATCACTCAAAATATCAAAATCAATATTTTCAGTCAAGAAAGTGGTAATAAAGTCAGGACCAAAGCTAGCTTCAATTCTACGCCTCTTACTTCTTCTAAGTTTATTTTCATGTTCATTAGCAGTAACACTAGAAGAAGGTACAATATGAGAGTTAATAGACATAGATGTAGAAGCATTATTCGGCACATCACAAGGCACATTATTTTTCAATGGAAAAACATGCTCAGAAAATTCTGCCTCTCTGGATTCACAAATAAAACTATCATTCAAAGACATAAATCTATATGCAGCACTATTTTGAGCATAACCAATGAAAATAGCATCAAAAGTTTTGGATCCAACAGTTACTTGTTTAAAATCAGGTAGACCAACCTTAGCCAAACACCCCCACACTTTTAAAATTTTTAAGTTAGGGGCAAACCCTTTCCATAACTCATATGAAGTTTTATCTAACTTCTTATGAGGGACTTTATTAAGAACATAGCATGCAGATAAAACAGCTTCCCCCCCACATATTATCAGATAAACCCGAACTCAAAAGCATAGAATTCATCATTTCCTTAAGGGTTCTATTTTTTCGTTCAGCTACACCATTTTTGTGGGGAGTATAGGTAGCACTAACCTCATGTATAATACCATTTTTCTCACAAAAGGCTTCTAGAGTATTAGTACTATATTCACCACCCCTGTCAGACCTAAGTCTCTTGATTTTTCTGTCTAATTGATTCTCTACTTCTGTCTTGTATTTTAAAAACATGCTTTCAGCCTCATCTTTGACTTAAGAAGATATACCTTAGTGTATCTAGAAAAGTCATCTACAAAGGCGATGTAGTATTTCTTTCCACCTTTACTAACAGTGTTCTTGAAATCTGCTAAGTCTGAATGTACTAGTTCAAACAATTCTGTTTTTCTGCTAGTTACATTCTTAAAGGGCTTTTTGGTATATTTTGCTTCTACACAAAATGGACACTTAGAAAAATTATCAACATTAACTGCATGAATTAATTTCATTTTTCTAAATCTTTTAATAGAAGCAATATTAACATAACCTAGTCTACCATGCCACAAATCAATAGACTCAACAATATAAGCAGAATTGAATGTACTAGCATTATTAGTAATCTCTTGAGCGATGTTCAGCACAAATAAACCCCCACTAAGATAACCCTTCCCAACAAAGTCTCCCCCACGAGAAATAACAACTTTATCAGATTCAAAAACAAGTTTAAGACCTACCTTGTTGAGAAGCGCACCAGAAACCAAGTTTCTACAAAGGGAGGGTACATAGAGAATATTGTTCAAAGCTAAAGTTTTTCTAGAATTTAAATTAAGAAGATTTTTTCCTTTACTCATAACTCCAGCTGTAGTGGAGTTACCCATGTAGACACATTCGCCATCAGCAGATCCCTCAAAGTCGTGAAACAGCTATTTGTTGGCGCAAAGATGCCTTGAAGCGCCTGTGTCTAGTATCCAGTCAGTCTTGTTAGCCACCATATTTGCCTCAACAACCACATCAGCAAAGATATCACCACCCTCAATAAGGTTGGCTTGGACTGGAGCTTTTCCTCCATTCTTTGAGCTTTGTCCTTGTCTCTGGTTGCACTGAAAAGCCTTGTGACCAATTTTGCCGCAGACATAGCAAGGTCCTTTCGACTTTTGAATATGGCCCTCCGGCTTATTGAAGTAATTCTGCTTCTTCACATGTCCTTTTTTTTTGCCTTTCTTCTGTTTTCCTTTAAACCTGTCTTTCACAAAAGTACTATAAGATTCCACAAGGTTAGCTTTAGAAGAATTAAGAGAGAGAGATTTCATCTTATCCTTAAGCCGTTCGGACTCCTCATCTTTGAGATGGTTTGATTCCTCAGTCCTCATGTGACTGATCAGTTCTTGAAGAGTTAAGTTTTTCTTCTTGTGCTTCAGTTGATTCCTGTAATCACTCCAGGAAGTTGGAAACTTTTCAAGTAGAACATTAGCCTGAAGAACCTCATACATCTCCATGCCCTCGTTCAAAACATCAGCAGTCAAGTTCTCATACTCGTGAACCTGTTCCATAATTAGCTTATCATCAACCATTTGAAACTTGATCAACTTTCCAACGACATACTTCTTTTTTCCCGCGTTATCAGCACCATATTTCTTCTCCAAACTGTCCCATATGACTTTAGCAGATTTAAAATTTATAAACAAATCAAAGAGAGGGTTAGTCATATGGTTAAGCAGATGCTCTCTCACTGTTTTATTATATTTTTCAAATTTCTTCTTAGCAGCATCATCAACAACAATAATATTAGCAGTATTAGAACTATCAGCAACAATATTAGCAGGAGGATCGTTAAACAAAACATAATCAACTTCTAATTGTTCAAAGAAAATTAAAAGTTTCTGGGACCAACGCTTATAATTGTTTCCATCTAAACGCTCAAGCTTTGAGAGATCAGGAAGTGTTTTGTTCAAAGTGGTGGCCATTAGTTAATATTATATGTAAAATCGCTTTCAAATTGTAAGAAAAATGAGTAGATAATATTGACTAAGAACAAGAAGGAAAGAAGAACAACTTATCAAAAATACTGTATCGTGGCAAGCCACTGCCTTGAAAGCGATTTCGGCCCGACAAGGTGCAAATCGTTAAGACCAGTCTCTCCCCAAGGTTCCACAGCACCTCTAAACACGTGCACTCGTGGCTGGAAGTTTAGAATTTGCACAAAACAGTTGCCCAGAAAGTAGAGAAGATGAAGGTATTTTATGTGTTGGATAATTCACAAAGAAGACTAGGAAGAAAGTAATGGTTAGCTAGATGAATTCTTGGTTAAGAATTGAGTGAATATGATGGCTAATGATCATCTTATTTATAGGCAATTAGGGAGGTTGCATGTATGACAAGTGTGGAGAGTCTTTTAACACTTGTCCAAATATATAGTCCACTTGTCTTCAATATTAACAAGTGTACCTAATCTTCCATGCATGAAGACACATGGTAGATTTGCATAGCCACTTGCCAAAGTCATTCAACACTTAGCTTTAAGGCTTCATGCAAGAAGCCACTTGGAAATAGATATGACATTTGAAAAATAAATAAAAAACTCATGGCTATTGATTGTAAATGGAATTTCAAAAAGAAATTTTTGACTTTGCATTATGAATAATTCCAACAGTGTGCACTTATTTTTCTCGTTCTGCATAGTATTGGGTTATTACCCTTCCACTTATTTGTTGTCTCGTTCGATGCTGATTAGTATTTTTTTTTGGTTTCTTTTGTTGTTACAGATTTATTCTTTTGTTCTTTTTAATATTATTGTCTCGTATGTTGAGCCCAGGGTCTCCCGAAACAGCCTCCCTATCCCGAGGGGGTGGGGATAAAGTCTGCGTACACTCTACCCTCCCATGACCCAACTTAGTAGGATTTTACTAGGTTTTTGGAAACATTAATATATATAAGCCAGAAAAAGTATGCTGGATTACTTCAAAGCTCTGACTTCTTTGATGATTTGATTTTTAAAGCTATCTTACCTGTTAAACTTCATTATTTTGTGCAAACGAAAACCTTTCTTTACTGAACCAGATCTTTTAATGGTTTTCATAAGATTTTATCCAATTCTTTACTTTCCACCTGGTTCACACCTAATTTTAAAAATTTCCCATGCAATTTAAGGGCGAATTTCTTATTACTTTTTGCCTTCTTTATGTTATAGGAAAAAACTAATAACTCTAAGTAGCGTGTTTGAATGGGTTATCACGTGCCATTCAATGTCAAATGTATATATGCTGCTATTAGATAATCCTCTATTTATTTGGAGTGACAATATGGAGCTTTATTCAATAATCCAATTTTTAACTTTGAATTATTGTGGTTTTTCACTTTTAGGTTGTTTTATCTGTCAGTGTGATTATCTTTATCTTATGAATATCCAACTTTCTATTTTTGAATCTAGCTCACAAATAATAGGACTATTTTTGCTTAAAAAGTAGATCTATCATTAGTAGTATTAACTTTTCTGTATCGAAACTCTCTCTATGTTAAATCAAAAGCAATACAAGAAAAGATAACAATGGATTAATGGTTGAAATTAGATAACACAGTAGCTATTTAATTTAATAAAAAATATTGAATAACAATATTATCAAATTATACAACTTCTGAGAAAATAATGGATGACACATTGGCGAGGCCTCATGTTAAACCTCGAGTCGTCATTCAACATAACGTGGCTGAAACTCTCTGTATTAAAAATGAAATAAAATAAGGGGGACAAATTATTCAATTTATATATATTAGTGTACCTGAGAGCTTATAAATATGATCCTCCACAGTGAATAAAATCACCAAATACCTCTACCGTTGTTCATTAGCAATATAATTCAAAGCGTTTGCAAATGGCTGCCAAACATTCAATGATCAAGTTTGCTATCTTCTTCACTGTTCTCTTGACGGCGACTATCGGTTCATAACTCTACTATTCTCTCTATTTATTTATTTATTTACTACCTCAGTTTCAATTTATGTGAACCTATTTCTTTTTTGGACTGTTCCAAAAAGAATGAATCCTTTCTAAATTTGGTAAGAATTTAGCTTAAACTTACAATTTTACCCACAATGAGAAGTTTTTATAACTACACAAATACTCTAGGGCCCTTTTTGACTTGATTAGGACCACAAATTCCAAAAATTTTCATTTTTTCTTAAACTCTGTGCCCAGTCAAACAGGTTCACATAAATTGGAACGGAGGGAGTATTTTTTAATTTTCTATTTCATGGAAGTTATGAAGGGGAACCTTGGAGCAACACTAAAGTAGTCTCCGTGTGACCTATTGGTCACGGGTTCGAACCGTGAAATCAGCCCCTGAATTTTGCATTAGGGTAGACTGTCCATATATATAACACCTTTTGGGGTGCGGCGGTCCTTCCCCGAACCTTGCGTGAATGCGGAATGCTTCGTGCATGCACGGAGCTGCCCTTTTTTATTTCATGGAAGTTATGCATCAAGATACATTACATATGTCAATATGCATATGATCCTATGAATTTAATACGAATGTTTCTAACTTGCGACCTATATATATAGGGAGAGAGCGCTTTCGGATTCTTAAGTTGATCTTAATTATGACAATTTTATGCAGTTGATATGTCTCGAACCTCCAAAGTGCAAGTTATGGCTCTTCGACAGTTGCCAGCAGAAGCATCAATACTGAAAATGAAGCTATTTCCCGTTAATATGTTGGGAGGTTGTAGCGATTATTGTAACTCTAACAGTGACTGCGGTGGCATTACTCTCTGCCAGTGGTGTTGGGAGAAGACAGATTTCAATGATCATAAGTACAGGTCATGTAGCATGTTGCCATGAAAAATATCACAGATTTCTCCACTCTGAAAATTCATGCTTTGGTTGCAAATATATGGAGTATCTGCTCTAAGTATTTTTTTTTTGGTCGAACGAAAAACTTTTTATAAATCTCTTGTCAAACTTACATCTCAATTACAATTAGTCTACTCTCTAACTATCCTTCCTAACAATTATTTACCTCTCATCTATACATTTACTTTAAAGATGTTTTCTATCCATTCCTTCTCACTGCTTGTATGGCTCCTTCTTATGGCTTCCCTTTCTCCTAACTTGCAATCTTGTTTAATCTGCTTTATTAGCTACCCAGGTTGAACCACCTTGTGTTCCCAGAATGCTATATTTCTAGCTCTCCAAATGTGATACACAGTTGCTGATAGTGCAGCTATCACCACAGCCCTACATGCTTTCCCCTTAATCTTCCTGGTCATTCTTCTTCCCAGCCCCTGTATCTCCAGATTCCTCGTACCTATATTTAGCCACTTCTGTATGTCTTCTATACATCTCCTCGCCAGTGGACAGTCAAAGAATAAATGATTAATTGTTTCTTCTGCTCCTCCACAAATCTCACACAAACTGTCTTGACTGATGCCCATTCTATACACCCTTTCCTTTGTCATGAGTCTGTTGTGTGCCACCAGCCAGCATATCATACTATGCTTAGGTATGTTCAGCTTATTCCATACCCAGCCTCGCCAAGGCCAGTCCTCCTTGGCCCCTTTCATCCAGTCATAACCACTCTTGATAGTATATACTCCATTAGCCTTAAGCCATTGATTTTGTATATACCCCCCAGCAAATTCATAAGAACATATCTTCCTCCAGTACCAACTACAGTCTGTAGGTACTTTATATTGCCACCAATCCCTTCCTTTTAAGTATATGTGGTTCACCCATCTCACCCATAGGTTGTCTGTTTTTGCTGCTATATTCCATACATATTTAGCTATGGCTGCTTCATTCCATACTACAATATCCTTCACTCCCAGTCCTCCTTGCCTTTTTGTTCTGCAGACCAAGTCCCATGCTACTAGTTGTGGCTTGTTGGAGTAGACTTTCCCATCCCATAGGAAGCATCTACATACCCCTATAATACTTTTTATCACTTTCTTGGGCAGAACAAAGATAGATGCCCAGTATGTGTGTATATGCATCGGCACAGTATTCACCAATAGGACTCTCCCTGCATATGACAAGTTCCTTGTGCCCCAACTTTTGATCTTCACAGTCATCTTATCCACAAGTACTTCACAATCCATTATTGTCAGTTTCTTTGGTGAGATAGGCACTCCAAGGTACCTAAATGGTAATGTTCCCCTCTTGTAGCCTGTTAGTTCACATAGGTTTTGTAAATCCTGTTCCTCCATGCTTGCACTGAATATATTAGACTTGGCAGCATTAGTAGTTAGTCCTGATGCATTTGAGAAGCTTTGTAGTCCTCTTAACATTAGGACTATAGCTTGGTACTCCCCTTTACAGAACATTAGCACATCATCTGCAAAGCATAGATGATTCATCTGCAACACTTTACATTTGGTATGGAAAGCAGGACAATGATCATACAGCCCTTCTTCCATGTAATGTACTGTGGAAGCTGGGAGGTTTGATGTCCATTCACTATTGACCAGCACTCTGTCTATCTTACTCATGACCTTGTCATCTCCTTCCTGCTTATTGTTCCAAGTAAAATAGGAACCAGTAGATTTAAGATCATGTACATCACAACTCTCTACACATCTCTTAAAGTCCCTTATTTCAGCTACTGTTACAGGGCTTCCTATCCTTTCCTCCTTATATAATACACAGTTGAAATCCCCCATTACACTCCATGGCCCTTGAATTTGACTACGGATTTTGCTTAGTTCCTCCCATAGATCTCTTCTAAGGCCTTGATCATTGAACCTATACACCACTGTTATGTGCATTCTCTCATTACTCCCTCTGTATTTTATTTGGCAATGAATCAATTGTGCTGTTACTGTTACTATATCAACCTCATAGATGTGAGGTTTCCATAATAACCATATTCTGCCTTTAGGATATTTGTGTAAATTTGTATTGAATGACCACCCATTACAAAGATTAAGAGAGGCTTGTTGGGCCTTGTTTCTCTTAATCTTTGTCTCCAGGAGCCCAAATAGTCCAACTTTAACATTGTGCAGAAATAGATTAACTTCTTTCTGCTTTGCTGCCCTATTTAGGCCCCTCACATTCCAACATCCTATATTATCCATTAGGTAGCGGGTTGCCCCCACCCTTCCCACTGTCATGGCCCTTACTAGCATGTTCATCCCCAGGGATAGATGAGCTTGCTTCACTTCCACTCCCCTTGTTGTTCCCCTCAGTACTCTTTGCTAATACTGCATATGTGTTTCCCAAAGATAGAGTCATCTCCTTTGGCCTCATAACTGTGTTGCTTTACCCTTTCCTTTTTTGCTGCATCATTCCTTCTATCTCCTTTTCTTTGTTCTTGTCATTGTCTGCTTTCTCCTTGTTTTCCTTCTGATCCCCTTTCTCCTCCATTTTCTGCTCCTTTGGTTGTTGTTTTGGGCTCTCCTTTGCTTCCTCCTTCTTCATGTTCCTTCTGCAGTCCTCTTGTTCATGGCCAAAATTATTACAGGTAGGACAGTGTACAGGCTTCCATTCATACACGACTTGCTGCTCTATTATCTTCCCATACTCATTTTCAAACATAATCATTGAAGGATACTATTGGTTGATTGATACTTCCACCAATATCCTCGCAAACGTGAGCCTTTCCTTCTGTGCAGTAGCACTATCTGCCTTTAGTGGTTTCCCCACCATGCCTGCTATTTTTGTTAAAGCACTCTTCCCCCAGTATTTGATATCCAATCCCATGAGTCTAATCCATATTGGAATCCTTTCTATAGTCTCCTTCTTCATGTCAATGTCCTGTTTCCAAGGCTTTATCACTATAGGCTTTTTATCGAACATTTGGACTCCATCCTCGACTGTTCTGGTTTTGGCATCTTCTGAGTGGAATCGAACAAGGAACACACCTTTATTCACCACAACTACTTTATCAATTCCTCTATTTCCCCAAATTCTCTTGAAGAAGCCCTCCATAACTGCTAGTGGGGGATTAGATCCCAGCACATAGCATATCACAGCAGTTTGCCAGTATTCAACTTCTTCCTGAATATCTTCAATTGTGATCTTCACATTCTGCTGTGTTATTTCTTCATTATTCCATTCAATTCCTACAGGTTGTGGAATTGGTGCTACTACTTTGCTCCATGATTTGCCATTTTGCTGTAGTGTCCCTGTTTCTCCTTCCACCATTGCTTCTTCCTCTACCACTTCAGCCCATGAACTTCTTCCGCTACTTTGCATGCTACTGTTCTCCCTTTGCTTGTTACTATTCTCACTTCTATTTGACGTTTTACTCTGATTTGGAGTTTGATCCATACTCCCTTTCGCTAGATCCAGTGGGACGATCCCCTGTAACACATTAATACTCCCTTTCGCTAGATCCGCTGTGTTATCTGCTCTAAGTATGTGTGTTATTATGATTTAAGTGTTGTCATATTTGTATTTCTTTTCCCTTCAACAATAAATTTGGGTGAAGAATATCTGCTATAGCAGATATGTATGTGATTCTGATTATGAAGTGTTGTTTTTGTATGTCTTGTCCCATCCAACACTAAGTTTAGTAGTGTTAAGTTGTCTTTGTATGTCTTTTCCCTTCACCACCAAGTTTTCTTTGAAATACAAGAATATGAATAAAGTGTTATTGGCTTGTGGTAAATCATAACACCCTCAATACGAACACAACACACACAACAAAACCGAAACACACACCAAACACAAAAAACAACAAACCAAACATACAAACCAAACAAGCCACAAAACACCACCACAAACAACCCCAAACCAACCCCACACACCAACAACACACCACCACACGCAACAACCCAACAAAAAAACCAACAACAAGAACACAACCACACAAAACAACAACCCAAAAACACCCACCCAACCCACAAACAACCACAACAAACCACAACAAAACACACCAAAAAACAAAAACAAAACAGAGAAAAAAAAAACAAAAAAAAACAACAAAAAAAATAAAAAATGGAAGAAAAAAACTCAAACAAACAAGCAAAAAAAGCCACAAACAAAATATTGTTTACAATTTTAGAAACGTATATATTATAATATATATATAATATTATATATATATATATATATATATATAATATATATATATTATATATATATATATATATATATAAATATGGGCCTCTTTACTGTAAATGATTTCATCAGTTAGATTTGATTTAGACTAATGCTAGGTGTTTATCATTCTTTTGAGAGCTCAAATGTATACTTCCTCTGCTTTAATATAGATGACACATTTTCCTAATTAGTCTGTTCCAAAAAGAATGACACATTTCTACACAATTGGAAATAATTCAACTTTAAACTCTTTATGTTACCCTTAATGAAAAACTTTTAAACCTGTAACGACCCGGCCGGTCGTTTTGAGAGTTGTAGCCTCGTTCCCCAATTTTCTGCTTCTTTTGTCTTCTACAGCTGTTATGTGACTTACTGGGTTAGTTGGTTCGGGTCCGGAGTAATTTCAGAGTGAATTGAGACACTTAGCTAGCGTTTGGCCATAGATCCCAAATTTGTTTTGAAAAATCTGATTAGGGTGAAGTTTGGTTTGAAGATGAAAATGTGTTTGGACATACGTTTTCAAAACATATTTTCCAACTTTATTTTGGAAAAACATGTATATAATTCCCAAATTTTGGGATTTTGCCCCAAAATCAGCAATTTGGATAATTTTGGGATTTGGGGTTTGAGATTTGGGATTTTGCAAAAATGTGGGCAAAATTTATGGCCAAACATGAGTTTTGAAAACAAATCCCAAATTTATTTTGGCAAAACTCACGGCCAAACGGGTCCTTAGTCTCTTAATTGAAAGCATAAGTTGGAAAAATTGACCGGATGTCGACTTATGTGTAAACGACCTCAGATTTGAACTTTTATGATTCTGTTAGCTTCGTTAGGTGATTTTGGACTTGGGAGCGTGTCCAGATTGTGATTTGGAGGCCCATAGTAGAATTAGGCTTAAATTGACGAAAGTTGGATTTTTGGGAAGTTTGACCGAGGATAGACTTTTTGATAT